TAAGATACATACAATAATTAGGATACATACGCAAAAGTGCCTGCCTATTCTCACTCCCCTAACCACCAATTTGTCTTCCATTTCTGTAATTTTATTTTTTTTTTAACATTTGAAAGGTTCATTTACTTATTTTAAAGGCACAGTTACAGAGAGAGTAAGAGAGAGAGATTCCATTGGCAGCTTCATTTCCCAAATAGCCACAACGGTCAGGGATGGGCCAGGCTGAAGCCAGGAGCTTCATCTAAGTCTGCCATGTAGGTACAGGGGCCCAAGGACCTGAGCCATCTTCTGCAGCTTTCTTAGGTGCATTAGCAGGGATCAGAAGTGGAGCAGCCAGTACTTGTACCAAAGCCAATATAGGATGCCAGCTTCACAGGAGGCAACTTAATCCACTACACCACAATGCAGGCCCTGATTTCTATAAATTTAACATTTTGAGGATGTCACCTGAATGGAATCAGATAGTATATGATATTTTGAGATTGATGTGGTTTTTTTTTTCCTCTTAGCAGCATGCCCTTGAGATTCACTGAAATTATTGAATGTATCAGTATGGTTTTTTCTATAGTATGAATGTCCCACAGTTGCTTAAGCATTTACCTATTTTTAAAAATTATTTACTTACTTTTATTTTATTCAAAAGGCTAAGAGAGAGAGAGAGAGAGAGAGAGAGAATCTCCCATCTGCTGACTGACTCTCCAAATACCAGCAATAGTTGGGACTGGTCCAGGCCAAGGTCAGGATCCTGGAATTCAATGTGGGTCTAGCATTCGGTGATCCAAGTGCTTGAGACATCACCTGCTCTCTCCTAGGGTGTGTATTAGCAGAAAGTTGGGTTCAGGTGTAGAGCCAAACTCAAACCCAGGCACTCTGATAGGGGATGTAAGCATCCTAAGCAGCACCTTAACTGCTACGTCAAATGCCTGTCCCATCTAGGTTCCTGTGTTGTGAATTTAGATGAATGATTTGAAACTCTTCCTCTTTTCTAATGTATACAGCCTGTACTGTAAATTTAACTACCAACATTGCTTTAGCCGTACCCCACAAATTTTGAAATGTTATATTTTCATTTTAATTCAGCTTTCTTTTTTAATTTGAGACTTCCTCTTTGACACATGGATTATTTAGAAGTGTATTTTTTTTCAGTTTTAAAATACTTAACGTTTTACTGTTGTCCTTAAGTAGTTCAATTCCTTATAATTTAACAGTGATGTCCCTATTGCTGTGTTGCTTGTCAGACTGGTGTCCCTCACCTCTCTTCTTTCCTTCTACATGGGACCCTACATCTGAGAACATAAACTGGCATGAAAATGCTTGCAGGCTTAGAATCACTGACTTCACCTTCTGCCCTATTTCTCTGAATTCCTATCCACTATATATCTCTTACGGACACTTCTGCCTCCTTCTGCTTTTATGGGCTCCTATGACGACACTGGGTCTTTACATATAATACAGAACAATCTCACTATCTTAATTTCAGCTTGTGAGTAATTTTAGTTCTGTCCCTCACAGCATTAGCATTTGATTGAATGTCCATATAATGGTAATCTTGGAAGATTTTTAGTACCAAATTAATGTTTACATACTAAATCATTTTTCATCATTTTACCTTTAACTACATCATTTTTATTTTTATACTTTCAATTTTTTAGAAAAATTTATTTAAAAAACAGATAGGGACAGAGAAACAGATATAGAAAGATCTCCCACCTACTGGTCCACTCCCCCAAGTACCCCCAAACAGACAGGACTGAGCCAGGCCAAAGCCAGGAGCCTGAAATTCAATATGGGTCACCCATGTGAGTGGCAGGGACATAAGTACTTGAGCTACCACTGCTGGGTCCCAGGCTGCACATTAGCAGGAAGCTGGAATTGGGAGTGCAGCCAGGACTCAAACCCAGGCATTCCAACATGAGATGCTGGTATCCCAATTAGTGTCATAACCACTGCATGAAATGTCAGCCTTGATAAGTCATTATTTTTAAAGTGAGTTTCTTGTATAGAGAGTACAGTTAGAGCACTTTAATTTTACCCATTCTTTCAATTGCTTTTAAATAGTGTTTAGAACATTTACATTTAACATAATTAATCATATGACAGAATTTATATCTTACACTTATAAACTAGGGTTTGCTTTCTGTTTATTCCTGGTTGTTTCTTTTTTTCTTCCTGTTTCTTCTTCCCTGCTTTCTTGTGAGTTAATACTTTTTAAATTCATCAATAACGTTTTGTGCATATCTCCTATAAGATAATTAACTGGTTTCTTAAGGCACTAAGATACACATACTTCTCAAAACCTATAAATATCAATATTTTGATTTTTTTCCAATATAGAATGTTTCTCAGAAATTAGGTCATTTTACTCTCTCCCTCAATCTTTAAAACTAGCTCTATGTACTGAGAATCATTTCACAAAATGCTATAATTTTTGCTTTCCGACATAAAGCATATTTTTAAAAATCAGAAGTCTGTTATATTTACCCGGATATTTATTCTTTCTTTCCCTCCATCGTTTCTTTTTTTGCATGTTTCTAATACATAATACAATTGATTTTTCTTTATATTATGCTGTTGTAGTTTGACTAGATATGGTCTACCTTTAAAATTTATTTAAAATTATGCTTTACATTTGAGGACTCAGAACCATCATACCACATTCACGGGAGTAGCACAGAATACCTGCTGTACTGTAAATCCTCAAAGGTGCCAGGCAGAGCTCCTGGATCCTAGCTTCAGCCTGGCCCAGCCCTGGCAGTTGTAGGGCTGGGGAGTGAACCAGCAGGTGGAGGATTCCCTCCCCCGACCCCGTCTCTCCTTTTCTCTCAGTAACTCTTTCAAATAAATAAATAAATCATCTTTATTTTTATTTATTTATTTTTTTAAAGACACACCTCTGGAGTTACTTTCCAAAGAACAAAGTCTTACTCTAAACAAGCTGCTACTCATAACTATGAATGGTGTGTTGAGTGTCAGCAACATTGAGTTCATTATACAATCCTTTGTAATAGTGTATGTGTTTGAGAATTTGTATAATAAGCCATTTTATTATTATCATTATGTCTTTCAATTTGAAAACTCAAATATAATGAATAAATTTTCAACAAAATATACATAATATACATGACTAAATAGATCCATAAAAATGAAAAAATTAATAGAACAATACAACTGAAACCATGTTTGTAGATCAAGCCATTCTCAAAAAGTTTGAGGCTCAGTTAGGTTTGAAGGCCAGTTATTCCTTACATTTATGAAAAAAAAATATGGTCACCATCTTATAAAAGTTCATCTAATGTGGGGAGCAACTCGGACTAGACTAAGTTACTGGAATTAAGACTTATTCTATGCATCTGCTCTCCCACAATATGGCGCTGGGAGAGGAGGAAACAGCTTCTACACAGCTGCCTCCAGTTCAACCAATAAACAGCAGGACCTGCTCCTGATTGGAGGAGAGCAGCGTACTCGGCGTGTGGGTAGCAGAGTTGGGATTGGTGGAAGAGGACTATAAAGGAGGAGAGAGACAACATGCTCCAAGAACACCTGAGGAACATCTGTGCAGCCCCCGAGAGAGCCGGCCGGCGGTGTGCCGCTCCCCCGCGGAAGTGGGGAAGGTGGCAGGGGGAACCGCCCTTCCATGGAGGTGGAAGGGTCGGTAGCCAACCCGGGAAGAACCAGCAGCAAACCCGGGAAGGGCCGAGCAGACAAAGGAACAGCGCAGGGTCCTGTGTCGTTCCTCCGCGAAGAGGGGGAGCGACAATCTAAAAGGCCCCAAATGATTTTAAATTACTCAAAAGACTTGTAAAACTAACATTTATTAATAGAACACCCAGATTAGGGCACTACAGGGAAAGAATACTTTAACCAAGGCTACTCACAATTAGGCAAATATTGTAAGGAAGCTTACAGCATAGTATTAGAGTGAATTAAATTAAGAAACACGCTGTGTATAGGAATACAAAGAAGATATAGCAGTTGTAATGTCTGCATAACAGACCGGAGAATCATCTGATCATTTCCAGAAGCATTAAAAAAAAGCCCTTCAACAACAATAATAGCAAAAACAAAACCAAAAATCACTAGTTTACAGTAAAAACGTAAACTACCACTGGAAGTGAATTTCCACTTTCTAAAACCATCAGAAAAATACATAAAGATGAAATGTTGGAATAATTTCTATGAAAGTAAGCAAAACAGAGATATATATTCCCAACTCCACTATTCAAAATTGGACAGGTAAACAAAGGCAAATAATAAATTAAATGAATGGATAATGAGAAGAGATATTATTCAGTGAAAATCTCATCATCTCCACATACAATGTCAGATGCCCACAAAAGACCAGAGCTCGTGAAATTATTGAGCACAGTACCCACCCTGTAGAAAGCAAATTTTTTAGAACTGAAGTTACCTTAAGAGGCTAAATTCAGTTAGTCAAAAGAAAGAATAGATCAGGGTGTTTTTTCCCTAGACAATCAAACACCCGACCTGGTGCCTGCCTGCCTTGTGCTGTGATTTCCCCATCCTGCACTAAGGCTGGGGCAGAGATCCAATCCAGCGTCTGCAAAGGCTGGAATAAATTAGTCATGAGTTTTCTAGGACACGACATTCCCAGAAAGTTTTAAACCAGAGAGAATGACGTCAAGAAGATATCTGGAATGACGACCGAGGAAACCAACATTATCGAACAAAAGGTCACACAGAGACCTACCAGTATGTTAGGTTCTCAGCGCTGAACGTCCGAAGGCAAGGCTCTCCAGCTGAGGCACCCCTTCAGGCACTCCTGTTATTCTGCAGGAAAGTGGCCAGACCTCACTTCAGCAAAAGGATACATCCCAGTGCTAGGCAGGAGCCCATATAAGTACTCCGAGGCAGAGCCAGCAACATCCACCACTATGGAACCCCAGGACTGCGCAGGGCTCTGCTCTCTCCGACGCACCGACCCTTGCCCTTTCCGGCAGGGAAGCGGAAGGGGGTGGTACCGGAAGGCGTAACCGGAAGTGGTGGTCGCAGACTTACTCCTCCTAAAACTGTTTCCTGTAAGGGGTTGGAGACGAGGAAAGAGTCTCACGTGCTACCAAGCTTCAAGGTAACACTTTTCAGTGAAGGCTGAAAGTACCGCTTGCCTGTCACAGAACAGAAAGTACCGCCCCTCCCGACAACGACGGAAGGCCTTGGGCTGGGCTGTGAGGCGGAACTCATTCCACCATGCCTCCCGAGGCGTCTGACTGAAGTGAAGTGCTAACTACGCAGTTTAGGAGTCCCCAGAACTTTCAGTGTTTAAGAAAGGCCCTTAAGTGAGCCCCGGCCTGCTTGCCAGCCCTGAGTGGCCTTGGGTAAGGTCCGCCGTGAAGTGGTGCTGCTCGCTGACTTCCGCCTCGAGAGACTTACTGAGGCGGGGCCTTTGTTTGTTGCAGGCAGCACCATGCCAGCAGAGGAAGGAGTTTCATGTTCCATGGGAATCTAGTCAAGGTTTCTGATTGAATTCTTAGGTTTCTGCCCACCTCAAGACCCAGGTCAGTCAGAGCCGAGGTCTTGTTGTGAGCTCTGGATGTCGAGTCAGGTGTCTCCAGAGATGGGGACTTGATTGGAAGGTGGGCCGGCAAGTAACAGACGGTAGGGAACACATTACCTTCCGGTGTCCAATATGGGGAAAATGCGATCACCTGATAACAGAGGATGATCCACAGAATCCTTCCCCTATTACCTATTCTGGGATACCCACCATAGATACTTAATGGTATGCATTACCAGCATTCGCTTCCAGAGTCTTAGGGAAGTGAAGGTTTTGTTTAGATGAGTACATTATGTCAAGTTAGCACCACAGAATGCGGCAGGTGTCATCTAATTTTGTCTAAAGGGAAAGCACACCACAAAAAAAGTGTGGTCTCACATTTATTGTCCTGTTGTATAGAAAGGTGACTATAGATAATGATACAGTACTGTATAGTTTTTTTTTTTTAAGATTGATTTTATTTATTTGAAAGAGTTACAGTGAAAGGGAGAGAGAGAGAGAGAGAGAGGTCGTCCATCCTCTGGTTCACTCCCCAGATGGCCGCAATGGCTGGAGCTGCACCAATCCAAAGCTAGGAGCCAGGAGCCAGGAGCTTCCTCAGGGTCTCCCATGTGGATGCAGGGGCCCAAGGACCTGGGCCATCTTCTACTGCTTTCCCAGGCCATAGCAGAGAGCTGGATCGGAAGAGGAACAGCCGGGACTAGAACCAGCGCCCATATGGAATGCTGGCGCTGCATTAACCCTGCTGGGCCACAGTGCCAGCCCCTGTATAGTTTTCTAAATAAGAAAACATATTTTAAAAGGGATTTTGAGGCTGGCGCCTCAGCTCACTTGGCTAATCCTCCACCTGCGGCGCTGGCACCCAGGGTTCTAGTTCCTATTGGGGCAGCAGATTCTGTCCCGGTTGCTCCTCTTCCAGTCCAGCTCTGTGCTGTGGCCCGGGAGTGCAGTGGAGGATGGCCCAAGTACTTGGGCCCTGCACCCACATGGGAGACCAGGAAGAAGCACCTGGCTCCTGGCTTCAGACCAGTGCAGTGTGGCGGCCGTACTAGCCATTTGGGGGATGAAGGAGGAAGACGTTTCTCTCCAACTCTGCCTGTCAAAAAAAAAAAAAAAGGGATTTTGAATGTTTTGAACCATAAGGAAATGATAAATGTTTGAGGAGATATATGTTTGTACTGACTGGATATTAGTGTATATATGTGTCAAAATATCATATTATATCCTACAAATTTATACAATTTTTATGTGTAAAATTCTTAAGATGGTAAAAACAATTGTAAACAAATTGTTAAAAAAATTGTGAGCATATTGACAGAACATTTGATGATTTGACAACATTATGGAATTGTTGCTTGTTCTTTTAGATATTATGGAATACTGGGTGTATGTTTGCAAAGAGTGTTTTTTAGGTATGTAGACTGAAATATTCATGGGTAGAGTTATATGATTTCTGATACTTGCTTCAGAAAATCCAGTGAATTGAAGAGGAGACAGGTGGAAATGTAGTTGAAATATTACTGGACATGTTGTAATTTTGTTGGAACTGAGTCTGGGGTGACATATGGCAGGTTTATTATTATTTATCACTATTGCTTTTTATATGTATTTGAAAATTTCCAATGTAAATTTTTATTTTTAACACTTAAAAATTATATATATATATATATATATATATATATATGTATATATATATATATAAACCCCGGCAGAGATAACTTGAAGGAGACACCCATGCTCTCCTTAGTGTTCATTGGGAAGGAATCCTTATTGAGAGAAGGAAAACTCAAGTTGGAAAGGTCATGTAAGGATTCAAGGTGTCTGAAAGAAGACCATCTGGAGCACACTCAAGGTTGACTTCTTTGGTCAACCCTGAGAGGCAGTTGGCAAGGATGGGTGCACATCAGACAACTTCATGTCATCTTTGGTTTCAGAAAAGTGTGGTATTTGGTCTGATGGAGTGAAGCCAGGTAATTAATTAGATGCCTAGATGCCTAAATCATTCAAGGTAATTAATCTGCATTAGGTTTCAGGGCCCAATAAGCTGTAGAATGGAGGTGGCCCTACAGCATCTACCCATGATATCATTCCTGAATGGCTGTAATCCCCAGATGAAATGTCTTCTCACTTCCTCTTTCATGGTCTCTGAAAGGTAAATTCTTAGTGTAAGGAAGAAGCGTCAGGTCATTGAATGAGAAGAATTTCATACAGTGCCATGAGCCAAAATATAGACATTGAGTAAAGACTAAGGGGGGGGGGTGTTCCCATTCTAGTGTGTTTGGAACTCTGACCCTGCACTCAGCTCTTAGAAGCCCAAGGCAAGAATTGTCAGAATTTCCACTCTCTTTATCTTCAGAGGTCTCAGAGAAGTGAGTGTGTCTTGGTCTGAATGGAGCCCTCAGGTCAATTTAAAAATTGTTGCACAGATGTGCAAAGAGGTTGGCAAAGATACAAAGCTAAGACTAGGGAAATTACCCACAATAAGGCAGAGGGAATCCAACATAGCTCCATTTCTACTGTCACACAGGAAGTCTCAGGCAGGGATCACCTGGTGAGTTACTTCTCCTCTTCCTTCTTGGGGTTTCAATGAGAGAAGGGTTTTGACAAATAGGACTAAATCACATGAGGTACAAGACCTGCAAAGATCAAAGCAAGAATCCTGAAAGAGATCTGATGGGACTACCCACCCTAGTACAGAGGTCTTCCAGAGATAATAAGTCCTGTTCTCAGTACTTGTAAGCAAGATTGTGGTGGTTGGATGAGATGTCCTCATCACTTGTCTCCAGGAGATGAGGTCCTTTTCTGGCAGGGGTGACAATATTGATCAGATGGTAGGGACAGAAGCTAAACCAGCATAGCAGTCAAGCCCTGGGGATTTTGAGGTAGGGCAACTGAATAAGGTACTGCTACACTTCTTGTTAGTTGTCTTAGGAGATGTGATTTTTGTCTTGGGGGGGATACCCTTATAGTAACACAGAGGAAGTGGCAGCGGACCTATTGCATGCCAAATTAATGGCACTTGGTAGCCATTAACTGATGGTACAACCCACCTCAGAACAGAATAGCCTCAAAAGAGCCTAACCATGGTTGATTACTGTAAGCTTCTGTTGCACCATTGTCAGGATAAATTCATTGGTAGTGGTTTCCATAAGAGCCATTACAACTGATTTTAATAGCTAACGACACTCACACCCTCTTTCTCTTCCTTAGGTGGTAATTCTCCATTATTCCTCTCCTATTCACATACCTGCTTACAGCCAGACATAAGTGTCATCATGTCTCAGGATCAGGAGAGATTACAGTATGCACATTATCAGCAACTTCATTCCTTCAGTGAGTCCCAGGACCTGGAGGTTTCTCAGATCTCCCAGGCTTTGGAGGTGACCTTTCTCTCCTCCTCCCATTCTATAATGTCTGACAACATGAAGGAGGCTTCTCCTTCTAAGAAAACCAGTACTCCTGACAGTCCTCAAAGTTTCTGCTCCTCTTCTATTGCCAATGCAGTTACTTCATCAAACAAACCTGATGAAATCTCCAGTAGCCAAGATGAGGAAGATGTTCCAAGCATCTCACAGGCTGTATCAGATCCTGAGAATGTGCCCATGGATGCTCTAGATAAGAAAGTGGCTTTGCTGGTGAATTTCATGTTGCTTAAGTATCAAACAAAAGAGTCAATTAGAAAGGAGGATATGTTGAAGATGGTCATCAGAGAGGATGAAGACCACTTCTCTGAGATCTTCCTCAGAGCCACTGAACGCATGGAGATGATCTTTGGCCTTGATGTGAAAGAAGTAGATTCCATCAGCCACTGTTATGGCCTCTTCATCAAATTGGGCCTCACTTATGATGGGATGCTGGGTGAAGACAGCCAGCCCAAGACCGGGCTCCTGATTCTTATCCTGGGTGTGATCTTCATGAAGGGCAACCGTGCCACTGAAGAGGAAATATGGGAAGTGCTGAATTTGATGGGCATATATTCTGGGAGGAAGCACTTCATCTTTGGAGATGTCAAGAAATTCATCACCAAGGAGCTGGTGAAGGAAAAATACCTGGAGTACCGGAAGGTGGCCAACAATGATATTGCTCAGTATGAATTCCTGTGGGGCCCACGAACCTATGCTGAAACCAGCAAGATGAGAGTCCTGGAGTTTTTGGCCAAGCTTCATGGGACTGACCTGAGTGCTTTCCCTTCTCAGTACAAGGAGGCACTGAAAGATGAAGGAGAGAGAGCTCAAGCCAGAAATTCCATCAGGGATGACTCTACTTCGATGGGCATCGCAAGTTCCGCTGCTGTGAGCAGCAACTTCTCCCGCATCTAGGGAAGTCAGAAATAGATTCTTAATGTATGTTTGAGGAGAGCATTTAGTGTTCAAAGAATGTAGTTTCAAAGAGGAGCAGGAGAGAAGGCAGTATGTATAATCCATGTGTTTGTAGTTTATATGTGCAACTTGACAATATACTCTTATTTTTTGATGGATATATATTATTCAGATGTTTCATTTCAGATAGCTTAGCTTCAAGATTTCCATGTTTCAGATAATACTATCACATACTTAATGCAGCTACTGTGATTTAGTAGTAACAGCTTTGTTATTTTGTAAAAAAAGAAAAATGACAAACCATTCATCTAGATTGTGGTCTGGAATAAGATAATATGGCATTGCTAAGCACTCAGCATTAAAATAGATGTGGTTAACAAACATAAAATATGAAATATAATTGGCATTTTTCTTATACCTTTTAATTTATTTTGGAAAATTGAATAATATATACAGGGGCTCACTTAGCTTGTTTCTGTGTGTATGAGAAATAAATCTTAATAAATTAGACCATATGCTTACCTCTTCTTTATTTCTTACATCTTAATTAAACATTTTCTTTTTGATAATAATCATTTTAATACTGTGATTGTAGGCCAAACAAGGCCTAGGACCTGACTTCCTAACTTTAGTTTCCTTTAACAGCAATCCTATAATGACGATAGTGACATATCTTCTGATATCTAAAGCACAAGAAGGAATTAACACATAATGAGGCAGTGGTGGGGTGATCTATATAGGACTGTCAATTATAAATTCCCCAAAACAAGTAAATCTGTGGTCTTGGGAAACTGAAATTCCTTCTACTAAAATTGAATTCGAGTTAAATTTTGGTGTTGGGAAAGATGAGGCTGAGAGAGTCATAATCAGGGATCAGATCTCCAGGTGATGTGTCTCAGAGATGAAACCCAAAAGCCTGCAGTGGAAAACTGTTCTTTGTAGTTACTTTAGGATTTTTGTTTCAACAGAGATAAATTTCCAACTGAGGAAGGAATGAAGTTACTTCTGCTTTCAACCCTGTGCCATTCAGTAAATTCATAAAATAAATCTTTTATACTGCACATCATCTTCCAGGAATTTTTGAGAGATAACTGTGATACTTTCTCAAGGTGAGATACTAGAAACTCACCAAGTTGGCACGTGTTGCCCTGGGCTGGCACAACCAAAGAGTACTTCATTTAAGGTATATTTTAAATAAGTATCTTCAGTGTAATTTGAATTCTATACTTCAAAAATGCTTATTTGGGGGGGGGGATGAAATTAACAAATGTTGGGTTAGTTCAGATAGAGGTTAAAGTTGATTTTCGTCAAAAAGTCTAGGAATTTCAAGTTGCATCAACTGGAGAAGAAACTCCTTCCTTTCCCCTTCTGAGGGGAAAATTTTACGATTCTTAGTTGCTAAATAGTATTTTGGTTCATCTAATGTTTCATTTTCCATTGCATCTCATGTTTCCTGAGGTATAGTTCTTTAAAAAATTAGCATATATGTGAGGCTGGTAGGATCAGTGGTCAAAAATAATTGCAGTAGGGGCTGGCACTGTGGCACAGTAGGTTAATCCTCCGCCTGTGGTGCCAGCATCCCATGTGGGCACCAGTTCTAGTCCCAGCTGCTCCTCTTCCAATCCAGCTCTCTGCTTTGGCCTGGGAAAGCAGCAGAAAAAGGCCCAAGTGCTTGGGCCCTGCACCTGCATGGGAGACCAGGAAGAAGCTCCTGGCTCCTGGCTTCGGATTCGCGCAGCTCCGGCCATTGTGGCCATTTGGGGAGTAAACCAATGGACGGAAGACCTTTCTCTCTGTTTCTCCCTCTCATTGTCTGTAACTCTAGCTCTCAAATAAATAAATAAAATCTTTAAAAATATAATTGCAGTAATATGTATCGTTAATTAAAGATCTAAGGCATGGCAAGTACTGTGCCAGATGCCTGTCATACATTGTATTCTTTCCAAAAGTTTTATGTAAAGGGCTTATCATATTCATTTCTTAAATGAAGAGGCTAAGAGAGAACTTTGCAATGTTCCTCAGTTTAAAATCTGGTATATGATAGACTTGAGACTAAATCTCTGGTTTCAGTTCTTCTAAAGCCTATTCTGATTTACACTTGTTTTTTGAGGCCAGTCTTCTGTCTCTTGATTCATTTCTGTTGTCACTACTTCACAGTGAATCTTGGGATTAAAAAGTGCCTTGAATCCAAAAGCCAATGTAAAGAAGAAAAGTGAAAATGATAATAAAATACTATTTTACCAGCGTGCACTTCCAGGGCAGAAGAACCTCTGTGGCCTGCCCTGCCTCATCCTGCCCAACACCAGGCCCAGCTGACCTGGCTGTATCAAGTAGAAGAAGAGAAGGATGTGGAGGAGGGTGGCACCATGGGCCGGGCTGCACCCTCCATGCCTAGGAGCTGAAGATACTGCTGACATGGACCGCTTGTACCAGCCATAGTCCCTGAGTCAGCCTCTTCCTTAGTTGCCAGGGTTTGTGTTATAGCCATGAAGCCTGGTTGGGGCAGGGTGAGGGTGGGGAGTTAACTTCCCTGTCCCCTGCTACTCTCTTACCATTGTTCAGGAGTATCTGGTGAGGCCTCTGTCACTCCCTTACCCGCAAAGGAACGACGTTGCTCGCAGCTTATCGGTCTTCAGTAGACTTTTATTTAAACAGGATAGAAAAAGAAACCCTTGAGCAAGGGGAGCTCCGAAAGAAAGGGGAAGCTCCCGTTACTATTTCACGAATGGCTTATATAGTGTATCATTGCAGAAGCATGTAATGCAAGCTTAGTCCATGCTACAGTCCATGCGGCAGCGCTCCAATCGGGTGCCTGATCTCGCACAGTCCATGCACTCCTTGTCCAACCATAAAGGTGATCACGTGTCTTCATCCAATCAAGCTCCTGGTCACGTAGCAGGCGGCTTGGACGCCAGCAGAAAGCTTATCGTTGCTCCACCTGGTGTTTTCTCAACTCTTGGTCAGTGGGAAAAGAAGTATGGGAAGTCCCAAGGCCATAGTTGTAGACTAAACCCTGGGGTTATGGAAAGGTCCCGATATCGAAGCTCAACAGAAACCATAAACATCCACACAGCAGTAACTATTGCAAACAATCAACAATGCTAAGCCTTAGCATGTGGGCCCATGGCCGGCTCATGGGTCCCCACAGCCTCAAGTGCCATTGGGACCCCCAGAGCCACAGCCACCTCTACTATAGCCAGCCCCTATATAGAGTAGGGCTTGGGTGGGTAGGATGCTGGCAAGTTGTGCCCACTGCAGAGTGAAGGCACTCCCTCGCTGGTCACCAAAAGATAACAGTGACTGGGAACCCAGAGTGCCTGACCTGAGGCCCAAAAACAGAAATTAGCAGAGGGTGGTGGGGATGTGCCCCTTCACCCAGCAAGTAGACCTGGACCTTGATAACAGAACCAGAAGACAGAATTACTTTGAGTTCAATGAGAATTTTGGTGGTCCTCTTCCCTCCCCCAAAAAATTCCAACTGAAGAATTTATGACTTTGACATCACTGAGGATTTGAGCATCATAGATTGGTCAAATACTCTTAGATACCATTTATATAGGGAAATTTTTCCATTTAATTAGTAAATTTGATGACATCTTATATTCATTAACACACCAAATAATTTTAATTCTCAAGGATTAAAGTTGTGACTTCCCATTTTCAGAAAATATACTTTCAAAAAAAATAGCATTTTATTTATTTGAAAGACAGAGTTACAGAGAGAGTTAGAGACAGGGAGAGAAGTCTTCCATCCGCTGGTTCACTCCCCAGATGGCGCAACGGCCAAAACTGCACCCATCTCAAGCCAGGAGCCAGGAACTTCTTCCAGGTCTCCCACATGGGTTTCAGGGGCCCAAAGACTTGGACCATCTTCTACTGCTTTCCCAGGCCATAGCAGAGAGCTGGATTGGAAGAGGAGCATCTAGGACTAGAACCAGTGCCCATATAGGATGCCGGTGCTTCAGGCCAGGGCATTAACCCACTGTGCCACAGCGCCGGCCCCAAAAGTAATAGCATATTCAATGTTTCATATTCCTGGAGCTTTTATAAGTCCTGAGACCTTAAGAAGCCACTTAAGTCTTAATATGTCCATGACACAAAGGCATTAACCACATGTGTTCCATCCTCCAATTAATCTATAAATTCCATTTACATCGACAGGCAGAGTGGACAGTGAGAGAGAGAGACAGGGAGAAAGGTCTTCCTTTACCATTGGTTCACCCTCCAATGGCCGCTGCGGTTGGCGCGCTGTGGCCAGCGCACCACGCCAATCCGAAGCCAGGAGCGAGGTACTTCTCCTGGTCTCCCATGAGGGTGCAGGGGCCAAGCACTTGGGCCATCCTCCACTGCACTCCCGGGCCACAGCAGAGAGCTGGCCTGGAAGAGGGGCAACCGGGACACAATCGGCACCCTGACAGGGACTAGAAACCGGTGTGCCGGTGCCGCAGGCGGAGGATTAGCCTATTGAGCCGCGGCACAGGCCCTTTCATTCCTCTTTTGCAATGAGAAAGTTTTCGAACAAATGTTGTACCTCTTCTAATTAAAATGGGAACACATTCAATAAAAGAAAATGTATCAATATTTTCTAGGAAAAAAAAAAGAATTGCTTTTTTTTTTTCTAAACTGAGCCCTCACTTCTTTGACCCAAGAGTGTGCTTTTTCCCTAATTTACAATTTAAAAGTTGTGAAACACTTTTTCACACTCTCACCAAGGCTATTTAATTATTATTCTAGGAGATAATTACAAATCAAAGATCACCAGAAAAAATTTCAATGTTTTGTAACAAAATATGGAATTATTTTCTCTCCCCAAAATGCAAGTAAAAGTATACAGAATAGTCCAAGGGAAAGAAATAGATATGAATTTGAGTAAAGTGGCAAAATGACTTTATACACAATAAGATTGTATCGGCTCATAGTGTCTTGAGAAAGCAGCATGAAGAGATCTATTAATCCAGTTGACAATTTTATGAAAACTAGTAGAACATAATCTTACATAAACAATTTAAAATACATGCTAGAAAATATTTCATAAGTGTTAATAAGAAATGTTTAGAAAAAAATTGAAATCAGTGTACCTTGACAAGCTATTTCCCTACTAAAGGGAATACTTCTAAACATGAATATATTTATATATAAATGACATTACCATTGGACTCAAAAATTGTATTTTCATTTTCATTTTCTTCTATGAATTTGAAAGTGTATTTCAACACATTTAGGAGCTCCAGTATATGTAAAAATCCTTAATGGTAATTAGCCCTGGATAAGAGCACTTCCATTATTTCTCTTTCAATATCCTCATTTGAATAAAACCCATCTGAATGTGTAAACTGCTCCCTGAAGAAAAGTTGAGTACATTCAGATCACAAGTTACACTTTAATGTAAGTCTTCTTGTGCATGAACTGGGTCTCAAGTGACCTTAAAGAAATGAAATTTCCGAAGTGT